ACCTTTGGGTTACGAGTCCGACTCTCTAACCATTAGGCCACGACTTCCCCACTGCCCCTCAAAATGTTGACTAACTGAAATAAGATTAAGTTCTAAAACTGAAATTATAAATGTAATAACTGAAAACTAAAAATAGATTTAGAAATACTATTTAGTTTGTTTTTAAAAAATTTCTTGTTAATATTTAAAAAACGTTTAATGTGTATTATATGAGCTGTGAAGTTGTTCTCAAGATTTTTACAGTTTTAGTGTTTAGGCTTTATGTCGTCATGACAACAAAGTTGTAAAATTGCATGTAACTATACACAGAAAAGGTTAGTAAGTGATTTATATTCAAGCATATTGTTTACATCTTGTGACTATATTATTAAAACATTGTGTATTTTAACATCTGTGACCCTGGACAACAAAACCAGTCATAAGGGTCAATTTTTTTTTAAATTGAGATTTATAAACCATCTCAAAGCTGAATAAATAAGCTTTCCATTGGTGTATGGTTTGTTAGGATAGGACAATATTTGGCCGAGATACAACTATTTGAAAATCTGGAATCTGAGGGTGCAAAAAAAATCAAAATATTGAGAAAATCGCCTTTAAAGTTGTCCAAATTAAGTTCTTAGCAATGCATATTACTAATCAAAAATTAAGTTTTGATATATTTACAGTAGGAAATTTACAAAATATCTTTATGGAACATGATCTTTACTTAATGTCCTAATGATTTTTGGCATAAAAGAAAAATCAATAATTTTGACCCATACAATGTATTTTTGGTTATTGCTACAAATATACCCCAGCGACTTAAGACTGGTTTTGTGCTCCAGGGTCACATTTATGAATTCACTTTCATTGTAAGTATCTTACTGTAACCCAGGTTTTTCCCTTTTTTGGTAAATAAAAGGAGGGGCATATCGAAATTAATTTTTGTGTGAATCAACATTATGCCAGTAAGTAATAAGACTAAAATAAAAATAAATTAAAGCTATTTAGAAATATTTTCTAAACATAAACACTATTAAAAAATGTAAAAAGCACATAAATGCAACAAAATTACTAAAAAATAAACTGAAACTAAAATGGAAACTGTAAAATCTAAAAATAAAAGCTAATTTAAAATATTATTAAAAACTAAAATGGTATATAAATAATTCTAAAATAGCACTGAAGTGAATCGCTGAGATAAACCACTCACCTGGTTTCCAGTCAGAGGTTTCAATTTTTTGGTATTTGTCAGAATAACGCTCCACATCTGTCAAGAGGACAAAATAACTTCAAATTGCTAATCACACATTGCTATAGAAAGGGGTATTTACACTTATTGTGAATATTTGCCATGAATTTATAAATTACACAGTCTGAAACTTGGAATACAAATATCTGTTTCAAAAACACTGTGTTTTGCCTTCCTACAGTCCAGGATGTCTTAACGATGCCAGAGCTCATCCTTGACCCCGTGCTGACCTTTTTTGGGTGCAGCGGGACGGATGTAAAACGGGAGCGTCTTCATGGCTCCTCTGAACTCCTGTTTGAGTGCCAGCATGTACTCGGCCTCCTCACCCGCCTGCAGGGGCACCGGCTTCTGGTCCAAGGGCTGAAACATCAAACAAATGTCCGGAGGGACAACTGATACACATCTGGCTAGTATCAGGGGTCAAACAAACACCTGCAGGGACAGTTAACTCTCCACTAAATGAAATGTTCATATAAATGAGCTTTTAATAAGGGATATCTGATAGATATATCTTTTGCTTATGATAAATAACTTCACTATTCAATTTTTGCAGCGACTTCATCACATTGCTTCAATAATGTCTTAACCACTTTTTATCTTAATAACAGTATTTTTAATAATTTTAAACTTGCACTTATGTTTGTAAAAATGTTTTACTAGTGCTATTTTTTATTTATTTGTATTTTTTTTTACTTGTGCTATCTTTCTTTAAAGGATTAGTTCACTTCCAGAATAAAAATTTCCTGATAGCTCATGCCTTTCTTTCTTCAGTCGCAAAGAAATTAAGGTTTTTGAGGAAAACATTCCAGGATTTTTCTCCATATAGTGGACTTCAATGGTGGCCAACGGGCTGAAGGTCAAATTGCAGTTTCAATGCAGCTTCAAAGGGCTCTACACGATCCCAGCCGAGGAATAAGGGTCTTATCCAACGAAAGGATAGGTCATTTTCTTTAAAATAAATAAATACATTTATTTATTTATCGACTTCACGCAATGTTTTTTATTTTATTGAAATATTCACATTCAACATTAGCCAGGGGGTGAAGACAAGGAAAAAACAAAAAAGAACAAATTAAATAAAAACATGGAAATGCTTCAATGCATTAATACACTTAACAGCTTTCTTGTTTATCAGATTATAAATAGATTTTAGGTGTTGTTTAACTTCTGATTTCAAAATGAAAAATAATGGTTTATAATCACCATACTTGCATTTATGTATACTAAACTTTGCTAACAAAAGTAACAAATTAATCAAGCAAAATTCCTTATGAAATGACATGTCGTAATTGAAAAACCCAACTTCATGCATTATGTAGTCACGTTGGAAAGATCACGCTCGACGTAGGCGGAAGTACCGACCCAGTGTTTACAAAGCGAACGTGCAAAGAAAGTCAAACGCCCTTTAAAAAAAAAGGTAAAACTGATGTCTGACGATTTTGAAGTTGGAGGAGAAAATGAGATGGAGTTTTTCACCCTACTCTACCTTTCTGAACCAGAGTACACAGACGAAGAGCTAACCGTGCGTGGCCTTTCCAATGTGATTACATAATGCGTGAATTTGCAGACGCACATCGTGCATTTGTGGTTAAAAAGTATATACATTTTTATTTTTTTTTAGAAAATTACCCTTATTCCTCGGCTGGGATCGTGAAGCTGCATTGAAACGCCAATTTGACCTTCAGCCCGTTGGCCACCATTGAAGTCAACCTTCATTTCTTTGCGACTAAAGACAGAAAGACACGAACATCTTGGATGTAAATTATCAGGACATTTTTATTCTGGAAGTGAACAAATCCTTTAAAATAAATGCCACTTTAATAATTTGTTGTGATGACATTCAGACATTTTTTGTATTTGTTTTACAGTTTTTGGGGCCAATCTACATGTGACAGTTGAACAGGAGAGGATGTCATTAGCTGAGATTTCTGTAGCTCCAACACTAGCACATGATGCCAGCAACGCCAAAGTCCTGGGTTCGACTCTCAGGTAATGCAAGTACAATGAATACAATATAAGTCGCTTAGGATAAAATCGTCTGCCAAGTGCATTGATGTAATGTAATATGATGAGTATCAGTCCGATGAGGCTTTATTCTATCTTGAAACACTCACAGGGAATAGAGGGGTCGGCTGGATGGAGGATGGAGGGAGATTTTCTCCTTTACCGATTCCAACAATCTCCACAGAGAAAGTGCGGTGCCCTCTGCCCCTTCCTGCCATTATCTGAGACACAATCACCACATATCACATTATTAAGAGATTTATTTATTTCATTTCAATCATATGACTCTACCGCTAAAAAAATAGACATTTAGACCAAACTGATGTAAATATTTTACACCGTTTACTTTATATATATATATATATATATATATATATGTATGTAGCGAAGAGCTACCTGAATTATTAGGGCTAGTAAGGTATCGTAGTGAACCAGGTGTGTCGGTCAGAACACACAGAGGGGAGTATCAGTTTCAACAGCTTTAATGATCATAAAGTATGATAATCAACAGTAGTGAGGGAAGACAGCCTTTACATACACTTCAGTTAGTGGTTGGATGTCAGGATACTGAAAGATGAGCTTGGTTACAGTGAGAGAGGTTTGGGTATTGTGATCAGTCAACGGGCCGCTTTATAGTGCTCAGATGAGATGAATATTCTTAGCTCTGTTCAGTCTCTGTAATGACAGCAGCCGAGCGCATAGAGATGGAGAGGCTGAATCATGAGTGAGTTATATTCTTCCAGAGGGAATCAAATGTACAGGCTATCTGCCGTGCAATCTTTACTGCAGTTGGTTTGACTCACGACAGACTGGATGATTATCAACGGACAGGAGCTTTATTGTATGATTGTAGAGATATGCAGGGCATATGAGTACAGGTTTTGTGGATGTGTGTGGTTTATCTGCAAACACAAAGAACAGAAATCTAACATCAGCAATTAACGTAATGAACTAACATCATTGACATACATTATATGCTGCTCCCCTCCAGCTGGAATACCATAGTAGAAACACTGAATATAACATCACATTCATTGATATCTACATGATCGATAATAAAGGTATTAACATTGTAACTTTAACTGCAATCGTAGATACATCAGATACAGCACGTGTGCGTTACCATTATCATGTAGCATATCTCGCTTCATAACTGCGTCACAACTAACAAAACAACTACAAACTGAAAACAGTGTAAAGCGATCGTTACCCACTCCTATAGGACGCACACGGCACCAAATACAGTCAAGCTGAGGCTGATAAATGATAATGAACGTCTCTGGTGCTCGTTATGCAGAGAGACCGATCGCTAACTGCCACAGACACAGACTATCAGCTTCCTCATACCGACATCTGCCCGTAGCGTACCGCTACGTGATGCGCGTCTTTCATAATCAAGTCTCCAACAGTCAATGCGACAGCGCACCATCAGTATCTTTATCGCCTTTTGCACAATGTGTGTGATATGTGTGTGTGTATTTTTTTTTTATTATGTATTTGTTTAAACCGAAATGTAATATTTAAACGCCTCGTTCACGCACAGACAAAGTTCCGCCAAAATCCCTCTCTATTTAAAACTTAATTTCATTGTGCAAAGCATTTATTGGATAATCCGTAAATATTACACGCAGTTGGTTTTCATGGATTTTACTGATGTAGAACTGAGCAGTAAAATCACCCGCCAAACATCTGCACATTTATTTTCGCCCGCTGCTGAAAATGTTCCTGCCAGAAACGAGCGCGCTATCACTTATGGTTCCGCTTCAGTCTGCTGTTAAATTAAATTTATCCTAATTAAAATTAAAGTGAGTCATGCAGAACTAACAGATAAATAATAAAAAAATGTTTATTTTAACTGCTCTGATGGAGGATCAAATGCAAAAATATGATTTTTAAAATGTATATTATGTCCCAAGGGCTGATTTGTATTAAAACTAATAAATAAATAAATAAATAAGTACGTTTGAAACTGTGATCTAAAAAATGTGAATTATTTACTATGAAACTTGGTGAAATTGCTTTTTTTCATCCGAAAACTATGACTGTCCCACGGTTAAATGTAATTCTGTCATGTCCAACAGTTTGCCTCATTATAAAGTTTTCTCAAAAGTTAATGTACTTGGTTGCCAGGAACACACAAGCGTTGGGGAAGATCATGATTGACATGACATGTAATGTGTAAAGAAAAATGAGGGTGAATATTTTATTGTGCATCAAGCTATAATTTTGTCAAATTGTGAAGAAAAAGTGTGAAAATATTATTTAAATGTGTTTATAGGATACATAAAACGTATATAAGATGTTTAAAATGTCATTTTAGAATAGTATCAAACACAAACATTTCCATCACATATCAAATATTTATGACATTTCACAAAAATCACACAATTCTCCTGTGATGCATGTGTGTCCATGATTTGACTTTGTTACAGACAAAAGTTATAAAATAATGAGAGTGAAAAAAAAAGTTGTTGTTTTTTAAGTTTATTTTCTAAAAGTCCAAAAGCACCCATAACTTATCACTGCAGTTCCATTCCCATCTGTTCAGATGAAGCTGCTCACAGCACTGAAATGCTTTTCTGGAAAACCTGAGAACAGTTGAAATTCAGCTAAATCTGCATTTGTTAAAAAAAGAGAAAAAATAATGAAAGGAAAACTAACCGTGATATTGCTGACTCACAGCCTCCCCCGTCAAAATCAGAAAATATGTGTGTGAGTATGAGAGACAGAAATTAGGCATGTGCTGATTTCAATAAGGTAACCTCATTTAAACAAAACATAACATAAAACCTAAAAACATTAATTGAAGTATTGGGACATAATATTCAAACTATAATTAGTCTAAACACGGAGAGCAAGAGCACATTCACTACTATAACCTCTCTCTCTCTCTCTCTCTCTCTCTCTCTCTCCTGCAGCATGTGCATGTCACCGTGGGAACGCTTCTGTCAGAATCCACTGAATCAGTTGCCATAGAAACTGTGTTCAATAATAGCTATAGTCACTGAATTAGTATTTATGCAGTCTGAGAATTGTTTCACACCCCCTGCTTTCTTGCAGAGAGGGCCTTGATATATATTTAGCCCCCAAAAAAGAAAAAAAGTCAAGCAAAAATCCAGATTTATGTTGAGGGAGAATATGCTCCTCTGTAAATATGTGTTAAGTGCATTTTAGCTTAAACGTTAAATTGACCTAATACACGCCGTCTTTACTTTGCAAAGCCGGCATAGAGGCTGCATACATGCATTTACACAGATTGCACAAGTATGTTATTAAAGTACTTCAAAAATAAAATTCTGAATATAGAACATGCTAAATTCTAAAATAAATGCTCTGTCATGACAACAACAGGCTGCACCAATGCTGCATCATTTACATTCATCACTGGGTGCTTAAGTGGGTCAAGGCTGGCATATTTTATATTTTGCATGGGTTTAATGCGCCAGAGCAGCCTTAACTTGGCTATGTAAAGCATACACACATTGCTTAAATGTTATCATGCATCAAATCACAACAAGCTAAATTTTGTCTATTTCTTAGACAAAACTGTTATTATTATTATTATTAATAATGTAAACTCATTTAAATTTTCTGCATCAAATTCTCTACATCTACTTGTGAGAAACAGCACACTATGGCACACAAATGCAGGGGTGCATAAAAAAATAAATAAAAATCAGCGAATCATACAATGATAAACTTAAAATGATCAAAGAATTGAAATAATCTGATAGGTTTCCCCCTAGTGGAAAGCAGAGATGGTCATGTGCATGTGAACAGTCAGTAAGTCCGTCAGTCAGTGTTTGCTCGGTGAAGCTGGACCTCTGTGCGTGATCGTGGGAGCCTCGCATCAGCTCACTGCCCACTCCACGCCCCCGCAGAGTCTCCCAAACTCTCGGTCGCAGGAGGAGAGGTGATGTGGGGGATGTAAGACACGGGGATCAGCAGACAGCAGCTGGATTCTCGGGCTAAAATCGGCTGCTCTGATGGAGTGAAGACAGCAGATACACGGTGAGACTCTGTCAAGATACTCTCCTGCAAATGTTGCTTTCAAAATGCTCGTCATGTTTAAGATAACATTTATTATTATTATTATTTAATTTTGTATTATTCTCAACTGAGCATGGTCATAATTCAGCAGACTTCATTCCTTCATATTGAAGCGATATCTTAATATTCCCTTGCACGGTCTTTCTTATTACTTACATTGCAAACCACTTAGAGCAATTTTCGAGTCTTTCGATGTTGCGAAGCATGCTAGCGATTTTCTGTTGGCACGTGCGCTGATCAGAAATGGTTGCTGGCTGCTTATTTTAGGTGTGAGTTGTTGAAGCTAAAAGCAAATGTTTTATTGGAGGAACGATGTGCATGTGGCTGCAGCTGTTCATGAGGCTTTATGAGCGTTCGTTGCGAATTCATGCGCCGCAATTCGGATTCTCAGTTGCACTGAATGTCTGCTGGCATTTCCTTAAGACGCTTCTTAAAAAGATCTCTGAAGATTTGCTGGATGTCTAAAGTAGACGATTTAAGACTGATATTAATGCTGCTGTGATGTTCATTTTCTCACTTCACAAAAACTTAAAATATGAGCGTTTATGTGGTGATTGGTGCACGTTGCAAACATCCCGGGGGAAAAAGTAAGCATACGGCGTATACTTGCGTATGGCCCCGACTACACCACTGGTTTGCTCTAACAGAGGCTTGAAGTGTGTGTCTGCTGTTTGGAAGTTCATTTGTGGACACTGAAGCTTTTCGTCAGGCAGAGAGCTGACGTGAATAGACACCAATTTTGATGCTTTAAGACTAAAAATAGTCCTGAGCTGAAGATATTTGCAGCTGGCGCTGTGAATCGAGTCTGTAACGCATCAAAATCTGTATCTGCTCCGTTTTGCGAATGACATTCAGCACCGCGGACAGCGACACATAATCAGCATTTTCTTGTTTGATTTGAGTAATATTTCCACTTGCAGAATCAAAACATGATAATTGTTGCTGTTTGCTTTCATACCTGGTTATATTAGAAGGAAATAATACATTGTACTGCAATGAACATGCTGTTGACAAGGTTTTTGAACATAGCAATGGCAATGCCATGTTTTTGGACATGTACCATGGTAATCTTGGAGTTTATTGAAGCACCATGGTGTACACCATGCCACATACATTCTTTTAGTATATAAGGTATGTAGGAGAATCTCACTAAAAATACAAAAAGATGCCCCAGTCATACTTCACTCCACAAAAGAAATTGTATTCTGCATATAGAAAATGAAGCCTATTTTTTAGAACGATTAGGATTATTGATTTTCTTGAAAGTTAAGTACATTTTTCATCCCAGTTCTCGTTATTGTAATATAAAATACTTAGTTATTAATACCATGTGCAGTTATGTGAAAGGAGGCACACAGATTGCTCTCGAATTGGAGAATTCGTTCTCAGCTCTGTAAATCACTGAACACTCAGTCTAGACGAGTCAAGTGGTTTAGCTGTCATTCATCTCATTACAGACCAAGTGTAGAAGAAAAATGAACTTGGCATGACATGTGTGGCATTGAAAATGACAGCAGGACCTAAACATGCCACAGTAAACAATACGGAATAAACGCACGGCAGTTCAGAGGACGTGTCAGGAACGCTTAGGACATTTAGTATGAAGGAGATAATCTCATTGCTCCTCTGCAGGATGGTTCTCTTTGAAGCTGCCAAAATGAGTGATGAATTGCCTCAGCGGTTCTGATGCGACTGGGTCAAAGGGTCATCGGTGCACCACTGATGGATGCTGTTCTCTCAGCTGCTGTAAAAGTGATTGCACCTGCCTCGATCCGTGTGATCTAATGAGGCAAACAGTGGCTCAAAGGCACCACGGCGCTCTCGGTGGGGCGATAACTCTTACCAAGGATGGCGGCGCGTTCACACGCTGCGGCTTCTCCATGTGGAAGAATTGACAATAAAGCAGACTTGACTTGACTTGACTTGATAACGCTTGACTGCGCAGCCCCTTCTGGTCACGGGCCCCCTCGCGCAACCTCAGATGTAGCCTTGAGTCACACTGCTGTTACGTAAAACAGAAAGCCAGGGGTTGGGAGCTCTCAGAGGCGTGAGAATGAAGACATGATATTCATTTCCATCATCTGTCGGGAAAGCATGGAGAATTAGATACAATTTGTCCTGACAAGACAGCTCGGTATGTCGCCTCCCTCCTCTGGTGCGGCGCTGAAATGCAGACCCTCTGCAAGTGTTACTTAACATGCTGCAAAATTGGCAAGTTTATTTTGGTCATGTCGAATGGCTCTCCACTACGCTGATGTGTACACACTCAAAGATCCATGGGGAATTCTGGGAAGGGCAAAGGCTTTGTTCAGATGGCACATAAATCCGATTTATCTGTCAGATTCAGTCTTTGGGACTGTCTGCTTCTCTGTAATTTTTCAAGTGATTAAAATTGGATGCATTTGTTCAAACAGCATAGGCAATATCTGATATATTTACACATACACCAAATATTGACTGGTCATCCTGACATCCTTCAATACATAACGGATGCTCTAAAACCTAGAAAGCTGTCTACAGTCTACAGTCTAGAACTGTGTATCTAAACTGAAATGAAACACACAAAATAAACTGCACTTTGGTTCATGACACATGTTCATGTTTGCTTACAGTTTTTCTCAATTGCTTTGGCTCAATTCTCGACTGTCATGGTGAAAAAACAACTAAACATTTTGACCAGTGTGGCTCACACGATGACAAAAATACTTTATATTTTGGTGGCCTTGGCCAAATTACTGACACGATAACTAGGTTTTGAAGCATGAATGAAATGTTTTGGGTGAGTAACTACGTTTTGCAGACATGCAATAAAGTTCTGAAGTTCCAGCAAACAGTTGTGACATTTGCACTCACAGTTTAGAGAATGTTAAGATTGTTTCGAAAAATGTGCCAAAGCAATTGAGAAAAAACTGTAATATCATGACACATTGTGAGTTTCACTGTGAGACTGAATACTTGACCAAAGTCAAGGGAAACATGAGGAATGTTTTACACAGACTTATGATTAAGCAAAGACCACCTGTGAATTATGATCACAGACAAGAGCAATAGAATTAAACTTCAAAATAAAGGTCTTGACATTAACATTCATGCATTTGGCAGATGCTTTTATCCTAAGGGACTTACAATATGGAGCATAAGCAGTTTGTTACAGAGCCAACAATATTAGCAGTATACAAAGTCATGCAGCGTCCTCAGCATAGGAATAGATTACATTTTAAATATTTAAAATGAACTAAAACAAAAGCCCTGGCTGATGTCCTTAAAGGGATAGTTCACTCAGAAATTAAAATTCATCATCATTTATTCACCCTTATGTCGTTCCAAACCTATATGACCTTCTTTCTGTATGCTGGAATTTTTTTTTTTGAAGAATGTTGGGGTCCACACTATATTAGATATACTGACTTTCATTGTACGGACCACAATAAATAAATAAATAAAATAAAATAAATAAACACTGAGACATTTTTCTAAATATGTTCTACAGAAAAAGTAGTACAGGTTTTAAATGAGGTTGAGTAAGGGGCGTTTAAATGACACCGTTTTCAACTAAAAATGGAAAACTCTTTGTGTTTTGGCCATTAATTTACACAACAACGGTGTTTTGGGGGCCTTTAAATGCAAACCTTTGAAAACAGATTTCAAAGTGCAAGTTTTTGAATACCGTTATCGTCTCCGTGAAAAATCCGTGAAAATTTGTAAAAACTGTGCTTCAGCACATGTCTATTACGTGTTCAGTCTACTGTATATGAATGCATATGTGAGCAGGTGCGTAGTGTTTCTTTACAAAGTGACATCGCCAACTACTGACCTGGCATGCATAATACAGCTTTTTTTTTAGCTGTTCACAGATGTGTTTGAATTGGGATTGTTTTGACAACGTTGTCATCTAAACATTTAAAAAATGCAAAGTAAAAGCTTTTCCATTTCTTGTACATCGTTGTCATGTAAACGTACCCTAAATGAAGACCAACTACCCGGAACACCATAGCATC